AATGTTGACAGCGGAACACGGTAGTCAAGAGGGTGACTGTGGCACTTCTTTAGAGTACTTCCTCCTTGTGCTGCTTCGATTGCCTGTTCTTTCGAAGATCTTCTTGCGAAGCTGTTCTGCAACTGGTATTGGCTACCAGTCATTCAGATCCAGCCTCCGTGTGGAGATGCTTGGTGGCTTTCGATATTCTTCCAAGTTCTTTGTGCGAGGCGTTGAGGTGCTTTCACTACAGGCTCTCAGTCGTTTAAGAATTAGGTCGTAGTTTTTCGTTGGGTTCTCCTGGATGGGATAGTCATAAATGTTCAGAAACTCCTCCACTTTGACGCCGTCATGTGCGACTTCTCTCCTTTTTTAACACGGTGACAGATCTTCTTTTCCAGCGTTCGGCACAATCGCACTTTTGCTCGAAGGAGGCGGTGATCTGAGCAACTACTGAAGGATGGTACCATTGAGACGTCCAGTAAACACCAAAGATGTGGTCGATCCTCGCATGAGTCGTACCGTTGGGTGACTCCCATGTCCACCGCCGGTGTTCTTTCTTCCTAAAGAAGAAGTCGCCATGAAAAAGTTCGAGCCCAACAAGACGGTTACCATTCTTGTCCCGGAGTCTGATCTAAATTATCCGATCCTATGCTCCCCTTCTTCTGACATCCCGCTTTCGCATTGAAGTCACCCACAACCAATCTGTAGAAAGACTTCTCTTTGCGGATGAATAGCAGTTGATGATAGCAATGGTTTATTGATCAGACGATGGAGTCGAAGAGAGCTAAGCGAAGTGATAGGATCTCATGCGAATCGACAAGATGGACCACAGATGGGTGTACGACAAATCCAACGCCTCCAACGTTCCGTGGTGGAACATTTACATCACGAACGTTGAGTGTGCCATCAGCCAGCTGTCTCACGCCGGTGCAAAGCATGAGACAATCTTTATGGCGAGTCGTTGGCGTGTCCTTTTATTCGGAAACCATGGCGTCCTGTGCATCTGACACTGGTCTTAATGACATCCGACGCCGGAGATATGATCCAGTGTGCAGGGCTTTTTTAAAGAGTATAACATCTGATAAAATGTTAAAGATTTTTTTGAAGAGTGCTCTCAGCAATTGCTTAAAGGCAAACTTTTTATCACCTCATCTGCAAAGACATTCGTGACATTTGAACAATAATCAAATTCTTATTACAGTTAGCCCATATTGCTTTATCCTTCTCTATTCCAGAAATTGAAAGTCTCTTCAACATTTCAACTAGCCATCCTTAAATAGTGATATTGTAAAAATAACATGCTGTGTAATATGTTCAGCAAACGATTCATCTATTGCAAGAGGGGAAGTGCAAACATAGCTATAAAAGGGCAAAGCAGAAAAGATATTGCTTAAGTTAAGGCTTCCAATCCGTAATTTTCCAAATAACGTTTCCATTAAAACATTGTTGCAATGTGCTAGCATATAAGATAACGTTTGTGGATAAATGGTGTATTCGGCCTAAACTATTTTTACGATCTTGCTTTTATCTTATAATTCAGATCTCGCCGGCTTATAAAAATCGTGAATTTTCCCGCAATTCTTTCTGACGCTAATAGCTCCGCACGTTTTATGAATTGATTAGGTGTTGCATTTAGACTGAATGAGGTTTTAAAGAGCGAAAAATTATTTACTGCCGGATACTATATGAGCAAGTCTACTGATATTTTTCCACTTTATTCCAACTTTTTAGCTAATGATTGTTATAAACTGTTAATGTGAGGTGGAAAAAATTCACCTGGAGCCTCTTTTCTTCTATTTGAGTTCAAATAACTTTTGCAACTGATAGAAAAACTTGTGGCGACTGTTTTGCTTCAAAACAACATTCAAATTAAACTATTCCTTCAGCATTTTACCATGGCACAGACTTAACGCAGCATCTTTTTATTCACGGTACTTGGATTGATTACAGTAGAATAGGAAGTGCTGATAGCTATTTCATGAACCTCCAGCAAACGCTAAACACAAAATTCTTGAGAATTAGAAATTCCGAAAATTTTCGGAAACCAGTTTTCAGATGCAATGAAGATGAAACTGGCTCATGTCCACGACATTTAGGAAATGTGATTACTTTTTAAAAAGACTTACAGCGGAAGGATGCTCAATTGGAGTGGCAGTTTGAAAGGTAATACATACCGTAGATAGCTTGAAGAGCTGATTCGAACTTGCTTTTCGTATCTACTATACATCACAGTGGAAGAAATTATGGGAACTTTCTCTGCTGAGCATGGGCTAGACAGCCTCTCAAAAATTTCTTTACAACATCTACTTCAACAGAATTTAAGGCAAAAGGTTAGTGCTCAATTAAATCCTGTTACACCGAGACCCAGCTTTGACGTTGCTGTAATCTGTACTGGGTCAAATTTAGACTTTTTAACAGAGCCCATGAGTCACTGAGAAAAAGATTCATAACTTGTAGATTTAGCAGCGTTTTGAGGTGCATTTAAAAATGATTCGCTTTTCAAATCATTGCTTCGACTGAGTACCTAAAGAAGTCGCTTGGTACAAATTCGTCGCTTCGCTTCCTTTAAACCTGTGTATTTCATAAGATTGTTTTG